ACCTCATAGGAGTGCAGAGTAAAGTTTTGGCTATAAATGCACTTTAAAGCATTACTCTGGGCAACAAGAAGAAACCTGTCACATATGCAGTAAGTTACCTCTGTATTAAGCCCACCAAGGCTGTTTTCTAACATATTGAGTTTGTTTTTGTATTTGCAGTTTGAAGGTCAAATCAAGGAGTCTGTTGCCTGATGTTATATTGCTGACTTGTTTTTCCGATATAGTGTATTCATGTGGTGTAAGCAATCCCTAAGGCAGGAAGAATGACAAGGACTTGACCTTCATATTTACTCTGTCTATTAGTTTGTTCCAAACATGTTTTTTTGTTGTCTTCTTTGAAGTAACCGTTTTTCTGGTAAAATTCTGTGTAAAATGGCAAAATAAATGAAATGCAGGTACCTTCAGTTGAGCGGGAAGATGGTCATTATTCAACTTGCTCTACTGAAGTTGACATTTGTGTATCAGATCTCCATTGGTTCTGGGTCTGGATGCTCAGGTTAGAAAGGTACCTAAAGTCACATATGTTGTAGATTGGCCTTTCTCAGCCTCGCAGCCCAGAAGAGCTCTTAAAATAACATACATTTTTCAGCTCATGGTGCATTAGAAAGATCAGTGAGTTCTAAATATAATAATAAATAAAAGAATAACGAATGGTAAGTGCCTAGATTATTCGACACCCAATGTCGATCATTTTAACTTCCCTTGTTCTTTATGATAACATAATATGCAGTAATAATCATAAAATGACCAGAAAAGGAAATGTGGACGGGCTCCCTTACACTAGTGGTCATTGGAGAAATACAAAAAAGATTTTTTTCATTTAGTTGATTATATGGGATGATGTGTCAGGCTTTGGGAGGTTATTCTTCTGTTCTTCCACTTTCTTTAACAAGTATGAAGTCACTAGAGAAATGCCCCGTTGATTGTTGTTCAGTTAAGGATCCTCTTATATTGTGGTCACGGGAAGAGATGTCCTCTAACTGGATGTCAATGAAGTGACCCCTCACATAATGGTCATTGAGAGTGGTGTCTCTTTATATCTATGTTCAGTGAGAAGATCGTCCCTTGCATTGGTGGTTAGTGATAGAGTGCACCATCTCATTGGTGGTCAGTGGGAAAAAATACCCCTTGCAGTGGTGGTCATTAGGTGGGCAAACTTTACAGACAGTTAAAAAGATAATTGGTGTTATTCTGCTGGGTCTGCCAAGTGATGTTTGCCCAAGAACGATGCAGGCACCATTAGCTTAGAAGTCAATACGCCACTGCCCATAGAACCCTTAGGAACTTCTGGAGGACTCCTAAAAATCCATGGAACCCTGATTAAGAATGTAGATGCTTATAATTCATGCATAAATGCATGCAGAAATTATGAGGAGACTTTGGAGTTATTAAAACTGGAGAGTGCAAAATCTGGTTCAGTTTTGCATGGTAGCCAATCAACTTCTAACTTCAGCTTGTTCAATTAGGCTTTGACCAAAAAACCTGGAAGCTGATTGGTTTCTATGCAGAGCTGCACCAGATTTTGCATTCTCCAGTTTTTAGTAAATCAACCCCTTTAGGTAATTTACCTATTGCAAGGCCAGCAGAGTCATTTTGCTCCACCTGCTCTGATTACAGTGTCACACTGTATCCATGCTGCCAACTCTTAAAATAAAACCCCAATTCTAATCACAAAGTACTTTATTCCCTTTCAGCAATTTTCAAAATTACACATTTTTGTTTTTTTGCAGGCACTCGCCTACTTTTTTTTTTTTGGTGTGATTAGATCTCTCATTATCGCATTGCTTTACTGTCGAGGGTGAGCAGCTCACACATGGGTAAGAGACTGTATTGTAATTCTCCCAACTTAAAATTACAGTAAGGACATATAGATATAAAAGTGGGAGTGACTATAAACCATGAAATATTGGGTGCGGTCTTAAAGAGGAATAGTTAAATAGATATAGTTAAAATTTCTGCAGTGTCAGTGGGAGGAAAAAATGGCCTTGGTAGTCAGTAAAAAGAAGAATGCCCCAGCATTGTTGAACAACCATGCAATTGCAAGAACCCCTAGACAGCCTGGCCAGGCAGACATTAATTTATTTATATGGTAGACAGCTTGGTCAAGCTGCCCGTTCTCTTCTATAGCACACCGTTAACCTTGGTGATCTCTTATTTGCTTCTATGGTGGGTCAATTCCTGGACCTGTTGGACTATTGGATTCTGCACACTTACCAAGACGGTCCTGCATGTTCTGAGACAGTTGGGGGCATGATACTGAAATCAGTTTTTTTAAAGATTCAATTATTTCAATGAGTGTTATATTAAATGAGTACATAACCAAAATAAAATTGAATCTAAAACTGAAGTCGTCATCCTGAAGAATAGACTGTAGCCATGTAGGAAATGCCATGTAATACAGCTGGACTAATATTTTGTTCCTGAAAATGTCATCCCCTGTGTTAATCCTTTACATTTCACTAGATTCTGTTGACTACTGCCAAGCTGTCCAGAGTGCATGCATCTTCAAGTGTTATGGCATGTTGCATTACACAGCCCATTAAAAATGACTTGCATCTCAAAACTCTAAAGTTTGCATTGCAGAGTGCTTGTATACACTAGGTCCTATGTCAAAAACCCAGAAAGTGTTTAAAACCCAATGTCAAAGACCCCCATTCTTGGCTTCTCTGTGCTGAATGTACCGCTTACGCATGGTTTCTATGCCTTGTGTGAATTTAAATGCAAGCATGACGGCATCCATCTTTGCCCATACAGTCGTTCTTTGCTGTACAGTTTGGTTATTCTCAAGAGTACTGCTATACCAGGTTCTATAGACATTCACTGAAAACAACTTACTGTCTAAGCCCTGGTTCCTGCCAGTGCGACTTGTCATGATACTTGACAATTCAAAGTTGCATGATAAGTTGCACATCATTTTCGGCAATGGAACCGGTCAAATTGCTGCGAATTTGAAAAAGTTTCCTGCACTATTTTTGTGCGGTTTCATTGCGACTTCCTTTAACATCTGTTTTTAATGAACTCACAAGCTGCAATTAAATTGTACATTAAAATCGCACTGATTGTCGACTTTGAAATCGCGCTGAAGTAGCACGACTTCAAAGCCACACTGGTGTGAACCAGGGCTAAATAATTTATCTGGAAAATTATTTTCTTAGACAATGTGATAGTGGACAGATCACTATAGATTTGAATTTTTTCCCCTCTAAAGTCAAGCAAGGCGGTGTTAAGTGTGGAATTCAGCAAAGACTCCTTGCTATCATAGTAATGAAACCGGACAATGATGTCTCTTGGTCTCGCGTCCAATGGTGGTTTCGGGGCAAGAGAGCGGTGGGCCCTGTCCATTTGCCAATCTATGTCCAGAACTGCCGGGGCCAATGCAGTGAACAGACCCCGTAGATAATCTTGCAGATCAGCATCTCCTACAGATTTAGGAATTCGAAGATTCTGTCTCCGCTCCCTATTCTCCAAATCTTCTTGTAGGGATTGTAACTGCGACATCTGTTGTTTCAAAGTATGATTATCTTCCTCCAGTACATGTACATACTGCACCAGATCATCAAATTTGGTTTCTAGGTGGTCTGTACGTTCTTCCACCAGTGCTGGTCTGTACGTTCTTCCACCAGTGCTGGTCTGTATGTTCTTCCACCGATGCTATCTCCCCTCTGAGTTCCTGTGCTATTTTCCCCACTGCGGCAGATACAGTATGGGACAGACTCTGCAGAAGGCCATGTAACTTATCATCCAGAATGTCTGCTGTAAGGTAGGGGATAGGAGAAGGGAAGGATAAAGCAGAGTGGTTACCTCCGCCTCGCGACCTGACTGATCATCCGGTTCTGCCGTCGGGATTGTGTGATCACTCGAGGCTGGGGATGCGGCTCGTGACACATATTTACCCATATGTGTAGGCCACAACTGCTTGGCGGGTGATGGAGAGTATTTCTGATGCCAGATTTTGCCCATGGGGATCTGCAAATGATACTGAGTCCGGTACCTGTTCTCCTCTGCTGTAATTAGCTAGAGTGAGCTCCAGAGGAACTAGAAGAGAGAGCGGTGAAGTGGAGCGAGGTCAATGTGCGACCGCCATCTTCAGCTTTGCGCATGCGCCCCTGGAAAATGATTTTCTTACAGCAATCATCTAGCACAGATGCTGACTGCCCTGTCTGAGGGCAGAATCGCCTTCAACTTTGTATATGAAATAAAATCCTAAAAATGTGGTATAGAAAACATGTACAAATCTGAACGTCACATTAAGAATTCCTTTCAGGCCATAATTACTTTGGGTGCAATAATGACTCAAACATGTAGTGAAAAAATACAAATATTTTCCATTTAAACTGCAGTGTTCTCAGACAAGCCTTGGAAAATCAACCTAAAAATTAAAATGCAAATATAATAAAACAGCGGCAAGATGGCAATCTCAGAACTTATTATATCTCAGTGTTACTGCTCAATAAAGTACCACTGCCTGCGTGCTTCGAGTGCGCACCGCCTCTGCCATTTTTTCCTTTTCTAATTGAATCTGCAAAGACAAATAAAAAGGAAGTCATTCTGTATAGTAAACATTACGTCGGAATGAATAAAACAATCTCTCTCTCGGGAACGGACTGGAAAAAATTGCATGTTTTTAATGTCTGCGGGGGACCGCGCAAAGGAGGAGGCGGGTATTGCAGTCTGTGATGTGTTTTTTTTTTAGTTTTAAGAACACTTGGATACTATTCATTTTAATTTTCATTGGCTGGTGGATTTACTTTAATAGTTTCTGTAGTGTAGAAGTAAACAAAATGCCATGAAGAAAAAGGGGTGATGTACGCCACATGGGGTTCTTCTCATCACTAAGATTTTAGAAGTGCCATGTTTAAAGCTAAAACTGAATGTCTCTTTTAAAGATAAACGGTAGAAAGATGATCAAGCAGATAAAATGTTACTAAACCCACAACAGTAAAATCAGTCTGTATATGCAGTAAAGCATGCTTGTTATACTCACTATGGAACCTAAGGGGTTAATCCTCTGCATTGTGTAAAAAGGCTGTTTGATCCTGTCTTCACTGATCTTCCCCTTCTTTTGCTGTCCACAGCCATAGTTAGAGCAACAGTAGAAAGTCTGCACATGCTCAGTTTGATGTGAATTGCTAGAGTTTTTTTGGGGGGGTGGTGGTGCATGTGAGCAGCACAGGGCCAATCAGCACTGTCCAGGCAGAGGGTCAGGGGTTATTCAGCCTCATAGGACAGTCAGAGATGAATGAAAACTCTTCCTACAAGATTAACCAGCTGGACACTGATAGAAGTCACAAGACTGCTATATACTGCTGATGAGAAAAGGTGTTTAATCATTTATATTTACTATAATCATTGTATTTCCATGTCCTGTGTACTGTGGGAGACCAGATAGAGTGAATGCAGGGTCGGGGAGACCAGATATAGTGAATGCAGGGTCCGGGGAGACCAGATATAGTGAATGCAGGGTCCGGGGGGAGACCAGATATAGTGAATGCAGGGTCTGGGGAGACCAGATATAGTGAATGCAGGGTCCGGGGAGACCAGATATAGTGAATGCAGGGTCCTGGGAGACCAGATATAGTGAATGCAGGGTCTGGGGAGACCAGATAGAGTGAATGCAGGGTCCGGGGAGACCAGATAGAGTGAATGCAGGGTCCGGGGAGACCAGATAGAGTGAATGCAGGGTCCGGGGAGACCAGATAGAGTGAATGCAGGGTCCGGGGAGACCAGATAGAGTAAATGCAGGGTCCGGGGAGACCAGATAGAGTGAATGCAGGGTCCGGAGAGACCAGATAGAGTGAATGTAGGGTCCTGGGAGACCAAATACGGCGAATGCAGGGTCCGGGGTTTTGTAACACTTTATGTATTCATAAAATGTATATAATTGCCTGAAGTTTCCTTGCTATTCATCTCTTGAAATTCAGTGCTTTATACAAGTAGGAGATTAGCATAGTGGAGATTGAGCTCATCAGTCTCCTGCTTCTCCTTCATCTGTAGATCCAGAGGTCGATGTTGCTTGCTCGGTCCTTTAGTTTCAAACAGGCTAAGGCTGCATTCACACTTTAGCAATTTTTAGCTTGCAGCTTGAAGCTCCAAAAATGCTCAAACTTAAAAAAAAAAAAAAACAGTTGTTCTCTATGGTGCAATCAGGTGTGAACAGGCACCATAGAGAACAACTGATTTTTTTAAGTTTGAGCATTTTTGGAGCTTCAAGCTACACAAGTGTGAATGCAGAGTAAGAATCCAGAGACTGATGTGGTTTGAGTCTTATAGGAGTTGTTCACTATGCAAGACAAATTGCCCTGTGCAAGGGAATTTTCCCTTAGCTTAGTGAATGAGGTGCCTCGTTCTGTTAATTTTCATCATCCAATCATGTGCAAGCCAGGGGCAGACTGTCCATTTGGAAACTCGGGCACTGCCTGAGGGCCCGGGGTCAGTAGGGGGCCCCATGAGATGCCCCTGGTACCTTTTTCATAGGCTTTTTTGAGTTTGGGCAAGGACACAGGGACCCCATGATCCCCTATTGCCTGGGGGCCCCAGGAGTTGTCAGTCCGCCCCTGGTGCAAGCAAAAAGTTTTTTTTATTTTCCTTGCATGTGATTGGGTATTTTTGCAAAGTGAAATTTCACCACATTCAGTAAGCTCTGTGGCAAATTCCCTTGCTAAATACAACTTCCCTTGAAAAGTGGACTGCTTATTTGCCTTTAGTAAATCAATCCTATAACGTCAAATCGCTGAAAACAGGTTGCCTGCCTCAATATATTTTTTCACCTTTTGTGTTACAGGCCAGCTTACCTGGTTTGGATATGAAAGTCCTCGAAGCTTTTGGGATTACATACGGGTCGCATGTTCCAAAGTGCCCCACAGCTGTATTTGTAGTATTGAAAACATGGAAAACGTTAGTTCCTCGAGAGCCAAGGTAAGAACGCATACTTTTTTTTTTTTTTAAAACACTGCAGTTTCTCTATTGAATTTTTTTGTGATCAAAACTGGCTTTGCATATTCAAGAGGCGTAAAGCCAACCCATGGGCTGGTTCATGCTTGTAATTGGACTGCAGTTATAGAAGTAAAGGCTTAATTTACTTCCAGTGTGTCCAGGGACCTCCAAAACCTTTAGGTCTCATGTACACTGCTGCTCCTAAATGTGAGTTTGTCTTCGGCCACACCAATCTGACTGAAATCGTGCGACTTCCAGTGAAGTCGCACAATTTCAAAGTCAGATTTCAGTCCAACTTCAGGTGCGACTTAAAGGACACAGATGTCAATGCAAAGTCACACCTGAACTTGCAAAGAGTAGTGCATGCACTACTTTCAAAATCGGTGCAATTCAGACTCACACCGATATATGACTGCTTCAATTGCCGACAATAGGGTGCGATTTGTCATGCAATTTGAAATGATCAAATCGCATGACAAGTAGCACCAGTATAACCGGGCACTTTAAGAGCTTTTGGCGTTTTTTTTGCCAAAGCTGCTGAACTCGACTCTGGTAAAAGCCTGTATGTCCATGTTCACATAGGCTTTTACCAGAGTTTAGGGGCAGTTAAACGTTCGGAGAGGAACGTTTTGGGCAAAGAACGCTGAATGTGGCATAAACGTCTGAAAGCTAACTAAGTTTAGCACATGGGCGTTTGTTCATGTCAGTGGAAAATACTCTGGCTAATCAAATGAATAAACGTCCAAGTTCTAAACGCGGTACCGCGTTTACATGCGTTTTTGCCGTGTTTTGTGTGTTTTTCTGCTGCCAGGGTGGCTAAACGTCTAGGTGAGCTCATGTGTACATGGGGCCTTAGGAACTCTATTATGTAAAAAGCAGCCTTGTGCGGTCAGAGTGTGGTCCATCTTACTCATCTCTCTATTGGCCACTTAGTGGTTTGCTTCATGGGTCACTAGGGAGGCAGAGGAGGTAGACCACAGTAAGACCATGCAAAGTCTGATTTCTGTTTGCATAATAAAGCATGCTGAGTTTTGGGGGTGCTGGGACTGGGGGACAGACATTGAGGAGGCAAGACCGAATACTGTAATAGCATTCCCTCGGGTTTGCAGCTTAAGCTCCCAGGATCAGGCCCTCCTATCCCTCTTGTATTGAACTGTATTGTTGCTGTATTGTCTCCCATTATATTGTAAAGCGCTGAGCAAACTGTTGGCGCTATATAAATCCTGTATAATAATAATAAAAAAAAGCTAGTTATCCCAACCTAAGACCATATGATAAAATCATATCGTTGTACTTAACTACATAGTCAAAAAAATATTCGGAAACCATACAAAATGAATTTCTCTCAATTCCATACCAATCTTTAATTTATTATTATTATTTAAGTGACCTTAACCACTTGCCCTGCGGAGGATTTACCCCCCTTCCTGACTAGGCCATTTTTTTGCAATACACCGTTGCGTTACTTTAACTGACAATTGCGCGGTCATTCAGCGCTGTACATAAATTAAATTTATGTCCTTTTTTTCCCACAAATAGAGCTTTCTTTCGGTGGTATTTGAACGCCTCTGCGTTACTTTTAATTTTTTGCGCTATAAACAAAAAAAAAAAAAACGACAATTTTGAAGAAAAAAAAAAACAATATTTTTTACTTTTTGCTATAAAACATATCCAATAAAAAATTTAAAAAAATCTAATTTCTTCATAAATTTAGGCCAAAATGTATTCTGCTACATGTCTTTGCTAAAAAAAAAATCCCAGTACGTGTAAATTAAGTGGTTTGCATGGAAGTTTATAGCGTTTACAAATGGTGGTATATATACTTGAATTTTTATTTTTATTTTTTATACTATTAATGGCGGCGATCAGCAAATTATAGCGGGACTGCGGCAGGCATTCTGACACTGGGTGCGAACTGACTAAACTGCCACTAACATTCCCATTAGTGCTAATAAATAACAATAATAAAATAATAATAATGATCAGTGCTAATAAATAACAATAATTAATAATGATCAGTGCTAATAAATAATAATAGTAAATAATAATAATGATCAGTGCTAAATAAATAATAATAGTAAAAATAATAATAATGATCAGTGCTAATAAATAACAATAATAAATAATAATAATGATCAGTGCTAATAAATAACAATAATAAATAATAATGATCAGTGCTAATAAATAACAATAATAAATAATAATGATCAGTGCTAATAAATAATAAAAATGATCAGTGCTAATAAATAACAATAATAAATAATAATAATGATCGGTGCTAATAAAATAATAATAAATAATAATGATTAGTGCTAATAAAAAGCACTGACACTGTACTAATACACTGGGCAGAAAGTGGTTAACATCTGAGGCAAACAAAGGGTTAACTGTGTGCTGTGCGTGTTTTACTGTGTGTTGTGTTTCACTAGACAGGCATTCTGTTTTGTATCTTTGCTGTGCGGAGAGATAGAAAACAGCATGTCCATGCTGACAGGAGGGAGACCTGCGTTGTTGACACACAGGTCTCTCCCCTGTCAGCTTTAATCGACGATCACCGAGTGCCAGCCAGGACTCAGTGATTGACATCCCTAGCCACCAATAGCAGCGCGGGCAGGATGGCGTGTGCGTCCCCTACCTGGAAATGCAGATCACGTATATGTACATGATTTTGTGCAGCCCTGCCACCCTGTAGCAGTACATCTGCTATAGGGCAGCGGGAAAGTGGTTAACGTGCAGGTTTATATCTCATCTCAACCGCCACTTCAAAATAAGGGTGTACCTGCAAGCTAAACCCATATGCTCCAAATAACAAATTATGCATTGCTCATTGTCAGAGAACACTTTGTGTATAGTATATGTACATAGAAGGTGGCGGTATTTTCAGCCATTTCACCACTCGCTTCCTCAGGAGATTAATATGGGAATAAAATTTTTTAAAATGTGATAATGTAGCCCAATAGGATCAAATTGTGATGAAATGTTCCTTGTGGCGGGACTATCAAGGTCGCCAACAACCGGGCCCTGGCGTACTTCCACCATGAGGGGGGACGTGACGGCAGGAAGGGGGCCTGCTGCAGCAGAACATGTGAAAGTGTCCTGCTGTTGAGGACCCATAATATTGGGCCCCGCAACGGGAGTAACAAGTCCCAGGATCAGTAGGAAGGGCCCCGGACACCAGAGGGAAGGGTGATGTTGTCTTCCACCGGGGCCCTTAAAGTTTAGTTATGCCTCTGTTATAATACCTTGATCTCCTGCAGAAGTGGATAGTGAAACACATTAGGATTACAGCCACGTTTTATGTAAATATGTGCAAAGTGGCCCCTGACCATGAGCAATGCAGGGGCGGACTGACAACTCATGGGCAATAGGGGATCATGGGGCCCCTGTGTCCTTGCCCAAACTCAAAAAAGCCTATGAAAAAGGTACCAGGGGCATCTCATGGGGCCCCCTACTGACCCCGGGCCCTTGGGCAGTGCCCGAGTTTCCAAATGGTCAGTCCGCCCCTGGAGCAATGTATAATTATTTGGAGCATATGGGTATGGTTTGCAAGTGTATCGACATTTGTGGGTAGTAGAGAAGCAAAATGAGACATAGACCTGCATTTTAAGCTCACTGATATACTAACGTTTAGTATGGAATTGAAAATGAATTGTTTTTTGTAATGGTTTCTTAATATTTGTCTGAAGATGTAATAAAATATAATTGTAGGATTTTATTTTATGGTCTCATTTTTAGCACCATAGAAGTCCCATCCCCACTGAGGGATTGGTTATGAATTTGATTTTGTTTAGAGACGTGGTGTTTTTTGTGTTATCCTTTACACTCCAAAGATTTTTTTATTATCTATAGAGACCTATCAACCATTGGGGTCCGTTTTAATACATTTAATTTCATGACAGGTTCACGTTATACCTTGTGTATAGGAAGAGCAAGGATGACTGTCAGTATAGCTGCATCCTGAAAGGGGAACTTTATAACCTTTTAAGTAAATAACAGGTCTTCTTTAAAGCCTTGGTATTGTTTGCTAATGCTGATTTACCAGTGATGTCATCCTTAATTGAATTAATTTAGTAAAGACTTCTATTTTCTCCTACTGTCCCCGTCATTCTGTCCTATTGTGGTTAATAGCTCAGGCCATTTTCTTTCCGCTTGAAGTCTATGATAAGAGGATTTCTTGGAAACCTCATGTAATAATACACTACAAGAAAGCTCTTATTCCTAATATCCCCTACAGCAGCTTCCAAAAGAAATACTGGTTGTGGGGGATCATGTAACTCAGCCCCCTTCCTCCCACCAGGTGGTTCTTGCCTGCTCAAGCACTGAGCACCGAGCAAAATGGGGTTAGGAGAATGTCCTTGACCCTGTGTAAACTTCTAGTCCTACCTTGGAGTTTATGCAAGTCTCCTTGTCCTTGCTTCTGTTGGGAAGAGAAATGGCTTGGGATTTCAGGAAGGCTGAGTATGTACTGCTATGGAACTGGCCATGGGAAAAGCACAGGTTCACTTTGAAGATGAATTCCAGGTATGGTATATTTTTACATACTGCGGGCATGGGTGCCATTCAGAGAATGCTTTGCATTCTCTGAATGAAGGGGAATCATTCTCTGATTCAACGAGGTGGAGAACGTGACATCACTGCCCCGCCTCTCCAACTTGACCTATCACAGACTGCTTTGTATTCATTTAGACAATGCAAAGCATTCACTGAATGACACCCTTGCCAAGCAGCTGATCTCTTGTGTTCAGAATGCATCAGGCCAGCTGCTCAGCACGGGACTCAGAAGCAAGTGGAGATTATCGGAGGGAAGCATTCTCTGATTCGACGAGGTGGAGAATGTGACATCACTGCCCCACCTCTCCAACTTGTCCTATCACAGACTGCTTTGTATTCATTTAGATTGAGGTGATTGTAGCCGTATTAGTGCATTTGCGACAGAAACAATTGAGTACTGTCCGTGATACTTTTTTTATTTATTTGCACTAACATACAATTCTGAGGACAAGCTTTTGGGGTATGTCCCCTTCTTCAAGGTCTAAGCAGTCCTTCTTCAAGGTCTAAGCTTAGACCTTGAAGAAGGGGACACACCCCGAAAGCTAGTCCTTAAAATTGTATGTTAGTGCAAATAAAAAAAGTATCACAGACAGTACTCAATTGTTTCTATTCATTTAGACAATGCAAAGCATTCACTGAATGACACCCTTGTCAAGCAGCTGACCTCTTGTGTTCAGAATGCACCAGCTGCTCAGCACGGGACTCAGAAGCAAGTGGAGATCATTGGAGTAGTGGTGTCTGCTTTAGTGATTTCCTGCTTCCAGGGGCATCAGCAAGGTATGGTATATACATTCATGGTTACATTGGTCCAAGCTGGAGCAATGTATCTACAGTTGTGCTCAAAAGTTTGCATACCCTGGCAGAAATCATTAAATTTTGGCATTTATATTGAAAGTATGACTAATCGTGGCAAAAAACTGTCCTTTATTTAGGGATAGTGATCATATGAAGCCATTTATTATCAGATAGTTGTTTGGCTCCTTTTTAAAACAGATTGATAACAGAAATCACCCAAATAGCTCCGATCAAATGTTTATATACCCTGGAATGTTTGGCCTTGGTACAGACGCACAAGGGGACACACAGGTTAAAATGGCAATTAAAGGTTAATTTCCCACATCTGTGGCTTTTTAAATTGCAATTAGTGTCTGTGTATAAATAGTCAATGAGTTTGTTAGCTCTCATGTGGATGCGCTTCACAGGCTAGATACTGAGCTATGGGGAGCAGAAAAGAACTGTCAAAAGACCTGTGTAACAAGGTAATGGAACTTTATAAAGATGGAAAAGGCTATAAAAAGATATCTGAAGCCAGTCAGTACTGTTTAATCACTTATTGAGAAGTAAAAAGTTCGGGGATCTCTTGATACCAAGCCAAAGTTAAGTAGACAAAGTTGTGGCCACAACTGCCAAAAGAATTGTTCAGGATAGAAAGAAAAACCCACAGGTAATTCTCACGAGTAATACAGGCTTCCCTGGAAAAAGACGGTGTGGTTGTTTCAAGGAGCACAATATGACAATACTTGAACAAAAATTAACAGCATGGTTAAGTTGCCAGAAAGAAGCCTTTACTGTGCCAATACCACAAAAAGCCCAGTTACATTATGCCCAACAACACATTAAAATGCCTCACTGGGCTTTTTTTGTGGCATTGCTGCCACATGTGATAAGAAGTGGCTACATATGATCACTGTCCTTAAATAAAAGACAGTTTTTGACATGATCAGTCATATTTTCAATATGCATTTCACCATTATTACTCAAGGTATGCAAACTTTTGAGCACGACTATATGGGGAAAATATATCATGCCTGTAATTCTTTATTTAATGCAACACTCTGGGCAGGAAAAAAAATTATCTTTGCAGTTGGCACACCCCCCCCCCCCCCCCCCCCCCACTCCCCCATTGCAGGAGTTAAATGCTTGTTAAGGGTAGATAAATAAGGTGTAATATCTACTTTCTTTCTCACTCCGGCTGGCTCCCCCATCCTGACCGGTCCAGGAAAGCTTTTTCTATAGGGTACTCTGGCCAGCAATTGCATCAAGTACAGTTCAGGATCGATAATCCTGCAATTGTAAGTAAGGATGCCAGGGGGCCACACACATCCAGCAGCATCAGAGACAAGAGGTTCACTTTAGACAGAGGGGTAGCAGAGTGACGTCTTCTGTTAAAATATCCTTTCACCTAATAGTCATCACATGTACATCAGATATTTTTTTTTTTGTGATTTTCCAACTTGACTGGAGAGTGCACAATCTGGTGCAGCTGTGCATGGTGGCCAATCACCTTCTAACTTCAGCTTCTTCAATTACGCTTTGACAATAAAACCTGGAAGCTGATTGGTTTCTATGCAGAACTGCACCAGATTTTGCACTCTCCAGTTTTAGTAAATCAACCCCCTATATGTATTTTAAAAAATAACAGAAGGCAAAACTTTATTTTTTGTTTTGGATAGAAGGGAGAGGTATTAAATACTGGTGCACCAAAATGAAAATTCTGGTGTTGAAACGGAAAATTCAGGATGCATTTAGCCAAAAACCAAAACTGAAATGTCTGCATATGTGGGGGTTGGGAGCTCAAAAAAAATTTATTTTTTTACTTTTTAAAGTGTTTTTATTTATTTATTTTAACTTTTACTTTAACCAATAGTCCCCTATGTGATCACATATAAGTGACAGGTCCTCTTTGTAGGGGGGGGGGGGGCAGTGTGTGCAAGGAGGGGGCATTAGAGAAGCAGTGTATACAGAGAGGGAGCAGTGTATACAGACTCCCTCACTTGCCATCGCTAAAAGTCATTGCCGGTTTTTAAAAGTAACTACTGGCTTTTTTTTTCCTTCACTATAGATCTGAGAAGGAGCTGTCATTCGCCCCACCACTAAAGTAAACAAAGGGGTGGGGTCTCTGGGTAATGTCATTGGGTACCCTACCCCTTTGTTTACTTTAGCAGTGGGGCGAATGATAGTTCCTATAGTGAAGGGGAAAAAAAAAGCCGGCAATTGCATTTAAAACTGGCAATGACACTTAGTGGTGGCAAGTGAGGGAGTCTGTACACTGTTCCCTTACTGTATACAATGCTTACCTCCTCTCCTGCCTTTCTTCGCTGCCCCCCCCCCATCTGCAGTACACACAGCCCCCCAAAAATCCCTGGCCAAATAGACAGTCTGCCCCTCATTGGGGCCGGGTATCTCATTGTAGGCACCTGTATCGGCTCACTTTTTCCTTTCGTTAAAATGCTGATAGGGCTATTTTCGGTCGATATGTTTTGGCCGCCGAAAATTCGGTGCATCCCTAGTATTAGAACACCTGTTAGTTTTATAATGCTGTCTGTGCCCCCGTTAGAAAGATTTCCCCTCTCTGTTTGTCCTGCTTTTCATTGTCCTCAAAATTGAAAGTAAAAGAAAATCCCAAATGTTGGGTTTCCACCATAAGAGCCCAAACAATTGTCCGGTTCTCCTTGATGTTTCACAGCAGGACAAAAGGACGGTACTAATCGTATGAAAATTCTTGTACAACAAAGGTGCTTTTTTGTCATCTGTTGTTTCTGATCCTGCGCAGTCTTTCATATCTAATTTTTCTTGTACGAAATCCATCTGAAAACCGTACACATTTAAATGTGTTCTGTTCAAGTATATGAGAGTTTTTGGAGTTTTCGGAAATTTTAATTCTGAATCGGATGTCAAAAGTTTGTGTAAACACTATACGAAAATTGACCGATAGTGCCTCGTACGGAATTTTTCTTCTGTTTTTCTCATAGCGTGTAGCCCACTTAGTAGAGGGGAAAAGTTCCAATGGGAACACTAATTCTGGTGACAAAACAGGGATTCCCCTTACTTTTCCTCGCACTTTCTGGTTGGCTATGGGACACAGATCTGTCCAAAATGAAATAAAAAGTTTTGCCTTTAGTTCTCCAGTAAGGCTAGGTTCACATATGTGTGGGTGGTGCAGCTGCAGATCCGCATGAAAATCCATGCAGCCGCACCACCCGCACAGAGGAATGCGGACTCGCGGGCGGGTGCCAGTATTTCTAATGGCACGCCGTCTGCACTGGAAAACGCAACCGTACTGGGAATCAAGGTTCCCGTGTGGGCTGCATTTTCAGAAGAAGTGCAGAGACTTCTTCCCAGAGTGTTACGGGGCACAGCAGTCCATTCAAATGAATGGGCTCTCGTGCCTGCGCAAAACGCAGCCCGCAATGCCGCATATATGTGAACCAGGGTTAATAGCTTTGGTCACTCTGCATCACCTAGACATCAATACACCTGTGTGGTAAAGGGTGTCATAGGGTAATATTAGGTCATAACAAAGTTCCATTCACAAGGCTGCTTTTGTTTTTTAGCATGCAAATCATTACAGGGAGAAAAAAGGTATTTTCTTTAATTGTTTGTGGCGCTAATATTTTTCAAAGTGCTACATAAGCGGGGATCAGTCTTGTATCAGAGTCAGTTGAAAAATGTTTCTGCTTTTGGAGGTGTAGTTGTTATGGGCAATACAAACCCTTTTTATATGGTATATATTTGTTTTCTGCCTAATTTTGTGCGTTTTTTTTTCAGGGCAGGGCCTGGATCCGAGTTGCACTGATGGAAAAACGCTTATCTGAATACATTACTGCAGCACTGAGAGACTATAAAACTACAAGGTCTTCTACATTTCATTCTACCATTTTTTTGTATGATTATGGCCTGAGTTAGCAGGGCCTTCTACATTACTTGTATTCAGATATTTGTATATTAAATTTACCCAATAACTCTTTCAAATTTTACTAGTTTAAGTATCTGCAAAGCCAAAACGTTTTTATAGATTGTAGTTTTTTTTTTGTCTGACCCATGGAGGATATTTTCCCTCATATACCAGCCTGGAAACACCTTAGGAAGTAAGAGGAGAGAGTTGCAAAGTGAGTTCAAATGCCCTCTTAGAAAGTTGTCACCACAGGTGTCCCCTCACCCAGGGACATACCTGCAGGAGTCACAGTTGCCACCTGGCCTGTCGGGAATTGCAGTTTCTCATTCACAGAGGACTGTGAATGAATGATGTGGCCGAGCGGGTGGAGCCATGCACATCCGCATTTTTTAAAACTTTTGATAGCTAGCGGGAGGAGAAGATCCCCCCCAGCTGTCAAAACAGGGGTACTGGGGCCGGTCTATCCACTACATGTTACACCTTGAATATGGGTGTAACATGTAACATGTTATGAACGGTGAACTTATCCTGTGATGGTACACCTTTATATCTAAATATAGTGGCACTTGAAGTTCGTGGCTTGAAAAAATACATGCGACTTTACTCCAAATAAAGCTTGTGCTCTTGGCCCCAATAGACTTCAATTGAGCCCCTGATAAACACACAAAAATAAATGGAATGTGCATTTTTTGAGCATTTTTTTTACCTAGTAGCTAGGTTTTCCTTGGATAAAAAAAACCCCGCTGAAGCCTGAAACACATAGAAAAACGTGAAAAAGAATAACACCTGAAAAATGACCAGAGAATATTCAGCTGTGTTCTTGAGTAAAGGTAGCTTGTTTTCAGGTACTTGTTTTCAGCCTTGATTTGATATCAGTTCAGGACACTTCTGAAATCGTTCACATTTCCCTGGTAGGTGCATTTGATCTCCTAAGCTGCATCAACCTGCTTCAAGCTGCTTTTGTATTCCTATTGATTTGTATGGTGAGAGAAGCACTTCTGCTGTGAACAAAAGCTTGTAAACGCTGGCCATAAAAATGTCCAGGGAGTACGCAAAGAAAACTGTATTGTTTGCTCACACTGGTGTTCAGCGGAGAAGTGCCTAAAATTAGTGGTCAGTGTAGGGTCCTTACATTTATGGTCAGTTGAAAAGTTCTCTGACACTGGTAGGTAGCCAGAAGTGGCCCCTTACATTGGTGTTCTTTGAGAGGAAGAATGTCATTTACATTGCCCTTCATTGGGTGTTACAAAATGGGTTTTCTTGATGTTTCTTAAAGAAGATTTAATTTATGGAAATTTTAACGTACTGTAGTTACATTGGTTCAGCTTGGACCATCGTAACTATGCATATACCATACCTGTGGGATCCCTCTAGAAGCTAGAAACCACTGTAGTAAATTCTGCTACTCCAGTGATCTCCACTTGTGGAATAGGTGCAGCATGGTGTGGCAGCAGAAAGCACACAGAGTCGCAGGTTTGTAAACGATGTGATGCAGAACTTGTAAAACAGTACAACAACCCAACTGAGGAACTTAACACAGTTAGAGTGGAGAGTCAGAGGTATGTAGGCCTGAGCCGAAGAAAACACCTGTCCGGGAGAGCAGAGTACGGCTTGGCCGTTCCAACCCAATGGAGGGCTTTCTGAGTTGCAGATGAAGGCCCTAAGCTTTCCCTATTCATCAGGAACTTCTCCCTACTGCTAGTGCTGTCCCTGGCAGATGGGTGCTCTGTCCCTGCACTAGCCACTTGCCTAATTCACGCAAAAACCCGAGGGCAAGGACTTAAAAAGATGCTGTGCTACACAGGGGACCGAGGGTGTCATAGAGAAATCTAGTTTCTCTTGACTTCCTCCTCCCAGCTGCATTACCATTCCGGACGAGAAACACTTGCAGTGAAGAATGTGGACTGCATCTGCCTACACCCTGCTTTCTTGGTCCTGTGCCAAGTGGCTGCCCTGCTGCATTCTGAACACAGGAGGTTGGCTGTTTGGCATGGGCACCATGTAGAGAATGCTTTGCAGTTAGTGGAGTAGTAGTGGAGATCACTATATAGCGGTACTTAATACAGTGTTTTCCAGCCTCTAGAGCAGGATTTATCAACTAGGGTTCCTCCAGAGATTGCTAGGGGTTCCTTGAGAAATGAGCAGTTTCTGCCTCTCAGATAAGTTCTAACTGACACCATTGATCTTTCTAGCTATCTGTAAGAGGGTAATTCTTCCAAATGACCACAAGTATAAGGAACATTCTTCCCACTGCTAATATGGAATTTTTAGCAGGGGTTTCCCTGAGACTGGAACATTATTTCAAGGGTTTCTCTGTGTTGTAAAGGTTGAGAGAGGCTGGTCTAGATGGATGCCACAGGTATGGTACTATGCATAGATACATTGGTAAAAGCTGGACCAAATGCTACATTATCTTTTGGGGCTACCCTTTAGGGCAGTGGTTGTCAACCTTCCTATTGCCACGACCCTTTAATACAGTTCCTCATGTTGTGGTGACCCCAACCATAAAATTATTTACCCAGTAATTATAATTCATGAAGTGTCGTTTTACCTCCAATACTGCTGCTTTCAACACAGTAGCTGCTTTCAACACAGTAGCTGCTTTTAACAGAGTAGCTGCTTTCTACACAGTAGCTGCTCTTTACACATCGGAAATATGTGTTTTTCGATGGTCTTAGGCGACCCCTGTGAAAGGGTCGTTTGACCCCCAAAGGGGTCACGACCCACAGGTTGAGAACCACTGCTTTAGGGGTATCTCTAAGCGGTCTAAGATGTAGGGAATACATATTCTGACGGCTGCTAGATGGGTGATACCATGACTCTGGAAATCAGTTGATGTCCCCACGCTAAATCATCTCTTAAGAGCGATCTCTGAAATCCGGGAAATGGAATATCTTACAGCTCTAGTGGGTGATTACTCAGGTCACTTTCGATCTAATTGGGAATTATGGGATCATTCTCCCTTTGTCCCCCCCCCCCCCCCCCCCCCCCCCCCCCCCCCCCCCCCCCCCCCCCCCCCCCCCCTTATATAGCTCAGGCACCTCTTTATGTACCGAGCCTCTGGCAGATAACATAACCCAAAGATGTGCCGGCTTATGTTGTTTTGTGCTTCTGTACTGTACAGTTCACCATGCTGTCTAATTATGTTCACATTTCTTCTGTTTTTGTTTTTGTTGCAACGTTTACACCTAAAGTGTTGTTGTAACTCTGTTCTGGAAAAAAAATGGGCTTTGGCCTTTAATAAAAATTTACAATAAAAAAAAAAAGCTGGACCAAAGTGACTATGGAGAAATATCCATACCTGGAATTCTTCCTTAACGCTAAATTCCAGAATAAAATGATACCTGAGAACAATGTATTTGATAGCAGACAGCGCAGGTAGAAAGCACAGGAAATTATTCGCTTACTGGATTTCCAGATCAATATATTTTCTAAACTTATCAAACAAAATATAACAAAACTTTTTTAATGTTCTATTTAACAGACCAAATAGACCAATTAAAGGAAATTCAGTGTTAGGTTTTACATACATTTTTTGAGAACACTCTTTTTATTTGTACAGAATGCATCTTATCCAATAATGACTACAACACCTTGTAATGCCTATTTAGGGAAACTTGGCCTTTTCATCAGATCTCACCTAGATCAATGGGGAAGCCTTCGTGGTATTGACAGACCGGTGCAGCCGAAGGGATAATGTGTTCTGCAGCGTTCAGCTATTTGTAGAGACTCCTTATAGAACACTGTCAGCCCTGAAGTGTTCCTGAGGAAAGATTTTGTCATCTTTTCATACATTTTCTTTTTAAACCGCTTACATTTTGGATTTCTTGGCAGGTTTTATTACATTTTTAAACTTTAAGTGCCCGGTCATACCAGTGCGATTTGCAAATTGAAATCACACCTGAAATTGCATCAAGTGAATGTCAGTGTCGTAATGTGCAATTTGCTGCAGTGCGATTTCCAAAGCAGTTCTTGCATTACTTTTTCTGCAGGTTTGTTGCAATTTCACATGCATAGAATATAATGAAAATTGCACTGCAAATTGCAAGAAATCGTTGGAAATCTCCACAAGTAGCAATAAAGTCTCAGAAATCGCACCTGAAATTGCACACAAATTGCGCAGTGGTGTGACCGGTGACTTAGTGTTACTAAACCCATGACCCTGCATTCACTATATCTGGTCTCCCAGGACCCTGCATTCACTATATCTGGTCTCCCAGGACCCTGCATTCACTATATCTGGTCTCCCCGGACCCTGCATTCACTATATCTGGTCTCCCCCCGGACCCTGCATTCACTATATCTGGTCTCCCCGGACCCTGCATTCACTATATCTGGTCTCCCCGGACCCTGCATTCACTATATCTGGTCTCCCAGGACCCTGCATTCACTATATCTGGTCCTCCCAGGACCCTGCATTCACTATATCTGGTCTCCTACAGTACACAGCACATAAAAAGTGCAATTATTTTAGTAAATATATAAACTGCTAAATACCTTTTCTCATCAGCAGTTAGAGCAGTCTTGTGACTTCTATCAGTGTCTGGCCGAGCACTGGTTAAAGCTTGTAGGAGGAGTTTTCTTTCTGCTCTAGGAGGATGCAGAACCCCTGATCTCTGTCTGGACAGTGCTGATTGGCCCTGTGCTGATCACATGCACTCTGCCAAGAAAAAAACCTCTCTAGTAATGCACACTAAACTGAGCATGTGCAGAAGGGCTGCTGGTTCAGTCTGTCTTGTCAGGGTGGACATTTGAATAAGAGGAGGGGTAGAGAAGACAGGATCAAACAGCCTTTTTACACAATGCAGAGGATTAACCCCTTAGGTTCCACAGTGAGTATAACAAGCATGCTTTACTGCATATACAGACTGATTTTACTGATGTGGGTTTAGTAACACTTTAAGTACATCTACAGGAAAAATGTAAAGTGTAACTATAGACAAAAATGACATTTATGATGCAGCCTGTCACTTGCATTACAGTAGAACTAAAGGCAAAATCTTTTTTTTTTTTCATTTTGAATACAGGGTTATAACCTCTGTTGTTGTTTTTTTTTTTGCCATTTGTGTCCCATTGTGAAGATGTCCCTTCACTTCCTGCCCCATAGCCAAAAGAGGAAGTGAAAAGAAATCTCTCTCCAAAGTGAGGGAATCCCTTGTTGTCACCAAAACTAGTATAATAGAGAGGGTGAATCTCCCCAATTGGGACACCGACACCAATAAAGACCTGACAGGTGTTCTAAGTCCTCTCCACTCTGTCCAAAACCAAAAAAAAGTTTTGCCTTTAGTTATACTTTAACACAGCAGTTTTGCTGTTTTTTTCTGAGCTGCCTTGTAACATAGTTTTATTACTGTTGACACTGTGAGTATATCCTTTAATTTTTATCTGCCTTTAATTGACCAAGCTATCCATGCAAAGTGTTAGTTACAGGGGTGGGGAAAACATAAAACTGGCAGTTGTGCTTACAATGGTCAGTTTTTCTTCATATGGCTTTACTTTTTTTAAAAAAAAAAAAAAAACTTGCAGTACTGTTTAGGAAGTGTTAGCTGGAGTTGGGCTTTAACTCGTCTATCTTTAAAATGGTTGTAAACCTCTGATATGAAAAATGAACAAAGCATATCCTTCTATAGTGTGTATGTGCCTCAATCCAAAGCACCTAGTGTGATTTCTGTCTGCCGTCCTGTTCCTCTGCTATCTACATGAGTCACATCTGACAGCATGTGCCTCCAAGTAATGGGCGAGCCACACATGCGGCTCTTTACAAACTTTTATGCGGCTCTTCTGTGTGCCGGCCGGGCGACCGCTCCCCTCCCTCCTCTCGGGCAGCCGCCCCAAAAGTCAGGACTCTGCAGCTAGCCCAGCAATGGGCAAACTACGGAGCGTGGCAAACATTGGCTGTCAGGATGTAGGCGGGGCAGCGTGACGAACTCCTCTCCTCTCACAGTCCGCCCTGAAGACCGGAACGGCGCGGGGGGAACACGGCGAGAGGAAACGCGCGGAGCAAAGGTAAGTGAATTGACACAATATGGTGGATGAATTACTATAGGGGGGATGAATTACTATATGGGGGATGAATTACTATATGGGGGATGAATTACTATGGGGGATGAATTACTATATGGGGGATGAATTACTATGGGGGATGAATTACTATATGGGGGATGAATTACTATATGGGGATGAATTACTATGGGGGATGAAATACTATATGGTGGGGATGAATTACTAGGGGGATGAATATGGGGGATGAATTACTATATGGGGGGATGAATTACTATATGGGGGATGAATTACTAATGGGGGATGTATTTTCAGTTTTAAAAATGTGGCTCTCAAAATAAATTTCAATCGTGGTTTTGGCGAGATTTGGCTCAGTTGAAAAAAAAGGTTGCCCACCACTGCCTTATGAGATTGTGTAGAGAGGGTTGTGTCCATTCCCTTTACTCATTTCTCAGATTACACCCAGCTTTCCTGTCTGTGCTTTGTAATGTATGACATCAGATCCCTGCCTCTGGAAGCTCAGAAAATACTGTGTAAATTCTGGACTTTAAATGGATTTTGAGGATAGAGGTCTGGGGATAAACAGGTACAATTTATGTAGGAGGATTTGTTTAATCTCTGTGTATCACCTGAGGATAGCCACTTCACTGGGTATATGTAAGGGTTCACAACCATTTTAAGAGCTCATTCCCACATGTCATTAAGGGTAGTAAAAACCAGCGGTTAAGCCACACTTTGACCACCCCAACTTCTCCCGTTAACTGCAGAGGCAGCTGTGATGCTTTGTTTCATGACCACAGCAAGAATTATACTCACTGTGGTAGTCATTGAAGTTATTACTCATACACCGTACTATTTTATTTATTTATTTATTTCAGGTACTTATATAGGGCCATCAATTTGCGCAGCGCTTCACATATATATTGTACATTCACATCAGTCCCTAACCCTCAAGGGGTGTACAATCTAAAGTCCCTAACTCCCATTCATACATACACATACTAGGGACAATTTAGACAGGATCAATTTAACCTAGCAGCATGTCTTTGGAATGTGGGAGGAAAGCGGAGTACCCGGAGAAAACCCGCATAGGCACAGGGAGAACATACAAACTCCAGGCAGGAGGTGCCGTGGTTGAGATTCAAACCAGCAACCCTAGTACTGCCAGGCTGAAGTGCTAACCGTTTAGCCACTGTGCTGCCCATACTATCCATTTTATACACATTTCTCCTATTTTTAGAACAAATCCTGTGATCCCAGTTTAGGATATTTTTGTTTTCAAAATTTAGTAGCTGATCTTCCTGATTTTCAGCGATTCCAGAGATATCCTCTATAATGTATGTGTATACACAATAATGTGTATTCCAGCGCTCCAACACTCCTTGTGCTCCATGACCTGTCATGTGAACATCAACTCCCTCAGTACACACTATACACAGAAAGTAATCACAGCGTATGTTTCAATGAAGATGTTAAAAATTCAGTAGCAGGCCCGGCTGGGGTGGCCACATGTGGTTTTGTCCTGGTAATGCATTGCAGGCCTACTGCTTTATTGATATTGAGATTGCTGAAGCGAACACTGTTTTCTGCCCCCACAGGAGATTTTACGATGATGGAGCGATAGTGCTGGGTGAAGAAGCCAATATGCTCGCCGGTATGCTGCTTGGACTCAATGCCATTGATTTCAGGTATTTGACCCCACTTGCCGCCTCCGCTAGAAGAGTGTTATATTATATGGGGTCCCACTGGAATGAAAGGAGAACTGACTTCATTTGGACTTGTCAGGAGGGTCATAAGTCATCTGTGTTAAAGCTGACTTGAAGGCAAACCGCTAAATACACAGATGTTATATCAACATATCAGATGTTATATCAACATATATATAATAGAATATATAAATACAACATGTGTTGTAGTGGCCAAATAATTTATATTTCTGTCCTGCCAGTCAGGGCACAGTACGGGGGGGTCAGGAGGACATAATACTGGGATCAGGAGGGCACAGTACAGGTTCGGGGCCACTGCCTGGAACACGGCTATCTCGGGACAGCTTAGTAAAAAGCATGACTGACCTGGCAAATTCGGGACAGTTGGCAAGTATGATGCAATGCAAAATTATAATGGGGCTTCTATGCATCTGGGGCCCATGCATTAAGACAGCCCTGCCTCTGAGGATAAGCACCTTGCAATTCAGGTGGAGTAATGTAGAATGGCACCAAAATTTATGGTATATCTTAAAAATGGGTATATCGTGAAACAATGTAAGAAAGGTGGAATTAGCTATTAGAATAGAAATACATTATGAGAGCTTATAGCTGCAACACTGCTCTGTTCCATGTCACTTGCAGTATCACCTGCTGGTGAAATGTTGTATTACAGCTGCCTGCGACTTGAAGAAAACCTATCCTTCAGGCCAGACCTGGGCAAACTGCAGCCCCAGGGCCACATCTGGTCTTTTGGTTGTCCTTATCCGGCCCTGAATGCCTCCAGTATAAGTATGCCTATCTGAGCCTGTTAGTTTCCTCACTGTAAAACTGTGGCTCAGCTGCCTGTTTTTTACCACTCTCCAACTACCCATCTGAAAGAGACCTATTTCATGAGCAGTTGTTATTCCTAGTGCCAGGTGTTTGCTTTCTTTATGTTCACATACACTGTATTGCTAAAAGTATTGGACACCTTGCCAAATCATTGGATTCAGGTGTTCCAATCACCTCCATGGCCACAGGTATATAAAATCAAGCACCTAGGCATGCAGACTGCTTCTACAAACATTTGTGAAAGAATGGGTCGCTCTCAGGAGCTCCGTCAATTCAAGCGTGGTACCGTGATAGGTTGCCACCTGTGCAATAAGTCCATCTGTGAAATTTCCTTGTTACTGAATATTCCACGGTCATCTGTTAGTGGTATTAAAACAAAGTGGAAGCAACTGGGAACAACAGCAACTCCGCTATGAAGTGTGAGGCCATGTAAAATTAGATAGCAGGGTCAGCGAATGCTGAAAAGCACAGTGCGCAGAAGTCGCCAATTGTTTGCAGAGACAATAGCTAAATACCTCCAAATGTCATGTGGCTTTCAGATTAGCACAACAATAGTGTGTAGAGAGCTTCATGGAATGGATTTCCATGGCCGAGCAGCTGCATCCAAGCCTTACATCACCAAGTGCAATGCAAACCATTAGATGCAGTGGTATAAAGCAAGCCGCCACTGGACTCTATAGCAGTGGAGACGTGTTCTCTGGAGTGACCAATCACGCTTCTCTGTCTGGCAGTCCAATGGACGTATCTGGGTTTGGTGCTTGCCAGGAGAACAGTACTTGCCTGACTGCACTGTTCCAAGTGTAAAGTTTGGTGGAGGTGGGATTATGGTGTGGGGTTGTTTTTTCAGGGGTTGGGCTTGGCCCCCTAGTTCCAGTGAAGGGAACTCTTAAGGCGTCAGCATACCAAGACATTTTGGACAATTTCATGCTCCCAACTTTGTGGCAACAGTTTGGGGATGGCCCCTTCCTGTTCCAACATGACTGCGCACCAGTGCACAAAGCAAGGTCCATAAAGACATGGAGGAGCGAGTTTGGGTTGGAGTGCCTGACCTCACAAATGTGCTTCTGGAAGAATGGTCAAGCATTCCCATAGACACACTCCTAAACCCTGTGGACAGCCTTCCCAGAAGAGTTGAAGCTGCAAAAGGCTGGCCAACTCAATATTTAACCCTACAGACTAAGACTGGAATGCCATTAAAGTTCATGTGTGTGTAAAGGTAGGCGTCCCAATACTTATGTCCATATACTGTACTTACGGATCTTTTCAGGTCCAAAATTGTTCGACCCTCCACAACAGTCCTAGTTTCTCATGTAGCCCCTTGGGAAAATGATTTGCCCACCCCTGCATCAGACTATTACAGATTTCTATTGGTGACTGTTACCCATTTAACATATCCTCTTCCTAGGTGGTTTGATATATGGAATGAATCTTTGTATTATGCTTCTCTTTTTATAAATGTCCTAATTATTCAGGGCTTCTTTCTCCATTAAAGTGATAGTAAACAGCAAAAAAAAATGTAAAAAAATCTTCATGCACGTGGGAGTTTCGGCCGCAGCACAGCTTTCTCAATGGATGGCATGCCGTCCATTCAGGGGTGTATTTATCACAAGGCAAACAAGGCATTTGCCAAGGGCGGCATTTCTTAGAGGGGCAGCACACTGACCCTCAGAAGAAGGGACGGAAGAAGGGACACACGTGGCATGGGGACCTGGTGGGTTCCGAGAGAGGCTGCGGGTTTCATGATGGTGTATGCACAGCCCAACTGTTGTTCCCGGGGATGTCCAAAGCTGTTAATGTGAGTGTCTCTCTCTCGCCATGGGGGATGGTGGCTGTTGTATGGGGGGGGGCAGTGGTAGTGGAAGGCTCTCTCTGCGGGAGGCGCTAGGGCAGCACAAAACCTAAATACACCACTGCGTCCATTGAGAGCTCAGTGCGCATGTGCCCATGACATCACCGGCGCTTATACAGTAAATATCTCCTAAACGGCTCACATACGTCTTATTAAAGGCTTACCTGTAGGTAAAAGATACAAAATTGGGTTTACTTCCACTTTAAGAAGCTGGACTGTCAGTTCCTATACTGGTGTACAGGGTTTGCTATTATGACCATTTTATTTTTGTACGCTTTTTATATACCTCACATAAAAGAAATATGAGTTTTAATGTCATGGTTTATTATTGTTTAAACTGGAACACAGACCAATTAATGACTAGACGGTTGTGCTGGAAATATCGAATAAAATTATACTGCAAAAGAAATTATTTACATAGATAGATTTCTTTTATGTGATCCCAATACAAGGACCTCTTTAAAATGTTCATGAGTAATAAAGGTGATAAAGCCCCTATAAAGTTGATGATAAAATTGTCATAAGTGGACAGCGTCTGACTTCAGTCAAGCTTATGGGTAGAATGTGATATTTTGTGGTCTGTATTGTTTCAGTGCTAACTGTGTGCTTCTCTCTTCTTTAGCTTTTGCCTTAAAGGAGAGGGCCTTGATGGGAGCTTCCCAGCTGTCATAGACTACACGCCTTATCTCAAGTTTACACAAAGGTGAGATGAGTTGTTTTTTCTGTTGGGGCTTAAAACACATAACATTTCATATTCCTGATATGTGCCTACTGTACTATGTACTTTTACGAAAAAGTATCCTTTTCTCTTTGCATTGCTTCATTTGTTTGAAATCCCTGGTGTTCCTGCCAGTCCCTTTGCTTTCCTATTAAAAACTGACCGCACTAGGCATGATAGCACAGCATGGTCAGTTCTTTAGCTGTGCTGGGAACTCAGTGTGCTCTCCTCCAATGATCAGACCTGTCCTGACACACTTCTTCCGCACAGCCATTAACTGGAAAGACCTGTATGCTGCTGTTTCTCCTCCCTCACCTCTCTATGCAGCTGAGAACAGAGGGAATGTAATCACTTATAAAAAAAAAAGGGGGAAAATGTATTTATAATGTTTTTATATCTATACACAAATGTTTTGCCTGTCTTTTCTATTTTAAACTGAATGGGTTGTCTTACAAGGTGAGGATTTACATATACTTTAAAGGCCAACTGCAGGCAGAATTATTATTGCTTCAAAATAGTCCCCCAACAGCAATTAAAAACAAATAATTATCTCTGGCTACAATACTCACCTCCTCCCTGGAGCTGTCTCCACAGTAATTCCCTTTCCTACACTAGATGTCAACCGATGTCTTCTGGGAGGAATGACACCCAGCAACACTGGGGTCATCACTCTCTGCATTGCTGAGGACCATCCACCACTGGAAAAGATCCAAATAGGAAGAATGCCCTCCGCTGTAGGAGATTCAATGAGGACCATGTGGGTCATGTGACTGACTGAAAGTAGTTTTGAGAAGGGAAGCAAAAATGCTGCCAGGGGGCCCTCCAGGAGGTGAGGAGAAGAGCCTGGAGCCCAGTGTTGGCCTTTAAGCTGGTCATACATACACTCACCAGCCACTTTATTAGGTACACCTGTTCAATTGCCTGGTAACAGAAATTGCTAAGCAGCCAGTCACATGGAAGCAACTTAATGCAATTAGGCATCTAGACGTGGTGAAGACGACTTGCTGAAGTTCAAACCGAGCATTAGAATGGGTAAGAAAGGGGATTTAAGTGACTTTAAATGTGGCATGGTTGTTGCTACCAGAAGGGCTGGTTTGAATATTCCAAAAACTGCTGATGTACTGGGATTTTCACGCACAACCATCTCTAGGGTTTGTATAAAATGGCCCGAAAAATTGAAAATGTCCAGTGAGTGGCAGTTGTATGGACGAAAAGGCCTTGTTGATGACAGAGGTCAGAGCAGAATGGGCAGACTGGTTCAAAATGATAGAAAGGCAACAGTTACTAAAAAAAACACTTGTTACAACCAAGATATGCAGAATACCATCTCTGAATGTATAACACGTCCAACCTTGAAACAGATGGGCTACAGCAGCAGAAGACCACACCGGGGGCCACTCCTGTCAGCTAAGAACAGGAACTGGAGGCTACAATTTGCACAGGCTCAACAAAAGTGGACAATAGAAGATTGGAAAAAAATGTTGCCTGGTATGATGAGTCTCTATTTCAGCTGCGACATTCAGATGGCAGGGTCGAAATTTGGCATAAACAACATGAAAGAATAGATCCATCCTGCCTTGTATCAATGGATCAGGCTGGTGGTGGTGGTGGTGTAATAGTATGGGGTATATTTTCTTGGCACACTTTGAGCCCCTTAGTACCAGTTAAACATCATTTAAACAACACGGCCTACCCGAGTATTGTTGATGACCATGTCCATCCCTTTATGACTCCAGTGTCCCCATCTTCTGATGGTCCTTCCAGCAGGATAATGCACCATCACAAAGCTCAGATCATCTCAAACTGGTTTCTTGAACATGACAATGAGGTCACTGCACTCCAATGGCCTCCACAGTCACCAGATCCCAATCCAATAGAGCACCTTTGTGATGTGGTGGAATGGGAGATTCGCATCATGGATGTGCAGCCGACAAATCTGCAGCAACTGCGACTGCGTAATGTTATGTCAGTATAGACCAAAATCTCTGAGGAATGTTTCCAACACCTTGTTGAATCTATGCCATGAAGAATTAAAGCAGTTCTGAAGGCAAAAGGGTGTCCAGCCCGGTACTAGCAGGGTGTACCTAATAAAGTGTACGGTGAGTGTATTACAGTTTTATTGTGCAATTAGGAGATTGTGCAGTTAGATTGTCTTATGGTCAACTTTCCTCATTTATCAGTGATCTGAATAGAAATATACTATATTCATTACACTTGTTATACTTTCAGTCATTGCACAGGAGGCCGTATTTCATCCTTTTGTGACAGGGACCACTTCAGCACTTTCTAATAGTGAAGTATTCTTGGTCCTACCTACATCCTGCAATGTTGGCCAATAGGGTTGCTCTTCATAGTGACTAATAAGAATGTGCGGGGCAGGACTTTATTTGCAAAGTCTAACACTTCCTGGGAGTGTCAGAACTTTGCTTTACAGGATGGCTCGGCATTTGGCCATGACAGGAAGTTCCAGGACCCCCCTTCCTCCTGATGGGTCTCTTTAGCTGAGCTTAAAGAAAATTTATAGTTCAGATGTGAGAATGAAATTGCGTTTTAAGATTTAGATTTCGGGACAGATTCAGGAAAGGCAATTTAACATACCCCCCCCCTCCCTTTCCCATTTGACTCATCACCCCTTTATATTATATCTAAATACAATAGCAGATCTCAGATTCCCCTGTTAAGGTTGCCATGGCCTGCTCTTGACCAGACAGCCTTTGGAGCCTCTATGAAGTTTGTGACCTTTGAACTGGATTGACAGCAGCCTTAGAGATGAATAGGGCATCTAAATATCCTCTATGACTTGCATCTATACTCAGATCTCCAATTCCATGGATGGTCTGAAGGCTGTTTGGTCACTTGCAGGCCGCAGCTTTCTGAATCTGAGGTCTGCTGTTGGTATTTAAGGATATGTTTAGAAAGGAGGACAAACAAGGAGGGTTTTTACAAAATGTTGGTTATCTTTCAATGGTTCAGTTGAGCATATAGATTGGATTTTGGATAGATTAGGAGACTCAACATCTGTCAAGTTTAATTGCTGTCTGCATCTGTGTAGGGGAAGGATTTCCTTTACTTCCTGTACCAGCGCCAGTGGTGTCCAAGACAGGAAATGAGGGTAAATATTTCCAACCAGAGCACAGACATTAAAATAAATAGCACTTGGAAAGGGTTTCTAGTTACTTGTCTACTGTTGACCGAAAAGTCCAGGAAGATCATGAGTTTAGACACCTCAAATTGAATGACATCCAGTTTGTGTTCCTCACGAAGTATCAGATCTCTGTCCTGAAAATTCAGCAGGCAGAAAATAAATGTGCAAGGTGGTGTCCCAAGAGGGCATCTATTAGATAGCATCCTGTGATCCCTTTCCACCACAAAAAAAGACGGAAAAAATCGGCCTGTGGTAACAGGGGGCGTAGCAGGCATTTGGTAAAGGCCGCTGGGCCATTACCTTCTGTGCCCTCCGGCAGTCCCAGGACATGGAGGTTATTGCGGCGGTTGCAGTTTTCAACATTCTATGCCCTAGTTTCAAGTGCCTTCCTTTTAGTATGAAGGATATGCAGGTGGACTGAGTGATCTCTGAGAACATCTTCAGAGTCGCCAGTCGAGGTCTTTCCGCAAGAGGCCCACATGTATCTGCAGAGAGTCGATTTTAGTGGTCAGGGCATTTTGGCATCCCTTAATAGCCTGCATGAGTGCGGCAAATTTGGCTTGTTCAGTGAGAGCCGGATCAGAGTCTTCCGTCTGGGTCGCCATATCTCGCACTCCCACCACATGGGCGCTTGGCCCGCCAGAGGCAGCGACCACCATACTATGCTGCCGAGGCTCCGATTGCTGCCAGCCCCTAGTCTTCATCCGCAGAGGAGTCCAGGGAGGTGTCCACCAGGTAAAAGAAGGGAAGCAGGGCTGTTAAACAGGATAATAATGTCCCTTCGGCAGCAGAGCTCATTAGCTAGGCATCCGTCCTAGTCGCCATCTTGGAAACACCCCCCTGCTTGTCTACTGTTAGTGTAGACTGTCTACTGTTGGAAGACTCCCCTAACCTTATGTCTCAATGGCAATGACAACTAAGACAAGAAGGTAGGGGAAATGTTCCCAGTGGGCATACAGCAATAACATCCTGCCTGAGAGTAAAAGCTGACCTCTTTAATTACATTTTCAGGGTTAATATTTAGTTAATATAAGGTTTTCAGGTGTAACAAATTTGTTTTCCCCTTGTGATAAATTAGTTTTCTGGCTGTGATAAACACGTTGGCACCAAAACAAAGGTTACATTTTTATTACGCTAAGAACTAATTTGCTACTAGTGTGTGTGTCTGTGGAACAGAGGTATAGCAGAGGCAGAACATTAGACTTTGTGCTCCCCCAGGTGCAGGGAATGATTCATTTATTCAGCCAAGCACACATTCATACACATCTTTGTATTGCAAGTATAGAATTTGAAGTTCCCTTTATACATATTTAATAATATCTTATATTCAAGGTTTTTTGTTTAAAAATGGGTATATAAACTCACTCCCCTCCCCAGGGCCACCCTGGTCTCTGCCCCATACCTCCCATCACCCCCCTTTTTAGAAAATATGGAACCAAGTATCATTTTGTAGTGATATGACATTTTCCTAGAATTTTTGTTATAGTAAAGAAATGCATTAAATGCACAAAATATAACAAATATACAGTGTTTTTTACAGGTCTCATTACTTGTAATCTCCTGTAGCCTATTATGTGATCCCCTGCCAGATGCAGGTACAGGTGCTCCCTAGGGTTTTGGCTGAACTTGGCAGTATTAGGTCAATGTCACATGGCCATATTAATATGGCTTCATAGCCATATTAGGTCGATGTCATTGATTTAATATGGCCATGTTAGGTCAATGATGTCACAGGCATCCATGCCCCAGTGAGTGAGTGCAGAGTGGGGAACGCTATGTCTGCAGTTGATTGGGCAAGTGTGGCAGCGTACTTCCAGCTTTTGGTCCATACCCAAGTTGCACCAAACCCTAGATTGTCCCTAGTGCTCAGTACTTATCATTATGAACGCTTGCTGCATAATGCACTTATCATACACAAGAAACCATACAAGGGAAGACTCAAAAATTTCACTTAATTAAAAGACGCAGAAGGTGACCAACCAGGAAGCCAGATCTCTGATTGTGTTGCATTGATGTGAACAGGCATCATAGAGAATAAAGTAATTTCCATGGTCAATGTTGACAATGGGGTTTATGACTAGTCCTTTGTCCTCTGCCTGCATTTTTTGTGCATAATTCTCAGACAATGTCTTCACTCTGACAGCACCATGCAACGCTATCTCTCCTTTTCCCAGTCTGAGTCCAGATTTTCAGGGGGCTAATAAAAAGACTGACTTTGGTCCTTATGGCACCTGTACTTAAACATGCTTTTAATGAATTTCGTGGATTCATTGTTAGTCTTTTAGTATCTGCCAGGAGTTCAGCTTTAACCGTCACTGATTAAAATCTATCTACGTGCATTTCAAAATGTTGCAATACTTCATTAGGAGATCTGGAACTTAGATAATTGTTAGTTAGGTTTTTAATCATGAGTTGATTACTTTATTCTTGTTTCTCAGCTCTGAGAGTATCAGCAGCGATGAGGAAGAGCTGCGGACTTTGGGTAGCAGTGGCAGTGAGAGCAGTACCCCGGAAAATATTGGTCCTCCATTTATCATGGATGAAAATAGCTGGTACAACAAGTGCAAGAGGGTGGAGCAGAAGTATCGGCTGGCATTGGAGCAAAAGGTACAATCATGCGCTAAAAAAGTAGTATCAGTATTAAGAAAAGCGGGATTTTCTTTTATTGCTGAACTAAAAAAGTAACTTTACCCAAAATAGTTTGATAACAATTAATGTTCTTTAACAAAAGAATGTTAATTCGACGTTAATAATTATACCTGATAACTAATCAGGTATATAGGTTTCTTTTAGTTGGGGGTGTTGTTCTGGCTACTCCGGTTTTGATAAATTCTCTCCAATGTATAAATCATTATGCTGCTTTTAGCCTGAATTTTTTACAGACGGCCAAATAGCCAATGAACAGAACCGGTCACAGCTATGATTATGCAAGAATCTGAATCTTCTGCAAATGTCAAGATCCTTTAGGCATCTTCTATACCAGTCATTCTCAACCAGGGGTTGATAGGGGTTCCTTGATTTGTGGCTGATTGACTTCCCATTTGATAGTGCCACCATAGTTCCGGAGCCAGCACCACATGGCTGAGACAGCTGCATGACAGGGATGATCGTTTTAGTTGTCTGCAAGTCATTCTTCCCAAACACTACCAATGTAAGGAGCATTGTAAGCTCGAAAGAGCAGGGCCCTCAATCCCCTTATGTTTTGCATTGTATTGTTATTGTTTTGTCACGTTCTGTCCCCCTTTGTAATGTACAGCGCTGAGCGAACTATTGGCACTTTATAAATACTGTATAATAATAATTATTACCACTGACCACCAATGTAAGGAGAATTCTTCCCACTGACCACCAATGTGAGGGTCATTCTTCCCACTGACCACCAGTGTAAGGATCATTCTTCCCACTGAGCACCAATGTAAGGGATATTCTTCCTACTGACCACCAATGTAAGGGGCATTCTTCACACTGACCCCAAATGTAAGGAGCATTGTTAAAACTGACCACCGAAGTAAGGGGCGTTTTTCCCAATGACCCCCAATGTAATGGGCATTCTTCTCAATGACCACCAATGGAAGAGGCTTTCTTCCCACTGACCACCAATGTAAGGGGCATTATCCCCACTGACCACCAATGTTAGGATCGTTCTTCCCACTGACCACCAGTGCAAGGGGTATTCTTCCCACTGACCGCCAATGTAAGGGGCATTCTTCTCAACGAGCACCAATGCAAGGAGCGTCTTCCCAGTGACCACCAATGTAAGGAGCATTCTTCCCAATGACCCCCAATGTAAGGGACATTCTTTCCTCTTACCACCAATGTAATGGGTATTCTTCTCAATGACCACCAAAGGAAGGAGTTTTCTCCCAGTGACACCAATGTAAGGAGCTTTCTTCCCACTGACCACCAATGTAAGGGGCATTCTTCCCAGTAACCACCAATGTAATGGGCATTCTTCTCAATGACCACCAATGTAAGGAGCATTCTTCCCACTGACCACCAATGTAAGGGATATTCTTCCCACTGACCACCAATGCATGGGGCATTTATACCTGACCACCAATAAATTGATTTTCAAAGGGGTTCCCTGAGACCTACAAATCATTTTAAGGGTTCCTCTGGGATGAAAATGTTTAGAGAGGCTGTTCCATAGTAGAGAGAAAAATATTTTTGCGCATTGTCATATTCTGATTCTTCAGAGGGGGATATGCTTGCATCTGCACAGAAAGAAAGATTTTAGCAAAGGAAAGTTCTTCATGCATCCTGTAATACTTTTATGTAGAAAATCCTCTTAAAAGAATCTCTTTTAACCATGTTCAGTTTAATGTTTTTAGAATCTGTAAGTGGAAGCAGTGAAGTGAGTCTATGGATTTGGTGATAAGCGGTAGAGAAATGACTATAATAGAATTGTGTGACCGCTGAGGCCATAGTACATGCTCTGCCAGTTTTATGATAATCGTCTGGCTGTTGTAAATATATTCAGAATCCCGAGCTGTAGGAGCTGTGTGTACAGAAGTGTATTGTTAACATCCCAGGCAGTAGAGAATGTGAAATGAGACAGAATGAGAGGTCTCCTCTATGAAGCCCGGGTGTTTTCAGCATAGGAATTCAAATGTTGAGATCTGATAAGTTATTTATTTTCCTCTTTTCTGTATTAATCCATCCATATACTATCATATCCAATAATCCTTTTGAAGCTGAACTTCAGGTACATAGTTACATTGGTCTAGCTTGGACCAATACAAGTGTACAAAATCCATACCTGTGGCTCCACTGTGGAAGCGGAGATTGACAGTGTCTTGTGCTGAGTGGCTGCCCTTCTGCATAGTAAACACAGGGTGCTCACTTAGCACGGCTGCCATTCATAGAATGTAGTGTGTTCTTTTAAATAAATACAAGGCGTTCCCTGACTGGATGAGGTGGAAATCATGACATCAGCAGCCCTCCTCTCCACCTTGCTTAATTACATTGCCTGGTGATCCAATCATCTAGTTTGTTGTTCTGCAACTTTCAAAAACAGATCAAACAAAGGAAATATTGAGAGGGCTGGGACTAACCTTTTACTGCTGACAGGGGATGTTATTCATTAATATAAAAACTTTTACATGAATGAATAATTCCCCCCACTAAAAAAAAACAAAAAACAAAACCCTATTGCTATAACTGCTTAGAAAGTGATAGCTTACGTTTGACTTTAGGTCGTTAGTCACTTACGCAGTCCGTCTAAATCTACTAGTCCTTCCAACACCATCCTCTCCACTGATTGACAATGTTGCTGTCCAAAGTTGGCTACGTTGTTCCTCCTTAGACACAGTGGAAAAGTGAATTTAGCCACCCTAAGGCAGCACATACATTTAGTCATTTTTTTTCACTCAGCCAGTGGGTAGGATAAAAAAAAAAACAACCCAATTCCTCCATCCACATGTTGGAAGTGGATGGGAGAATCACTCCCGCTGAGCTAATGTATTTATGACAGCGGGAGGACTTCTCTGCCATCAGAATACACTGATCAGTGCTGCTGCGCAGACGTTTTCCAACAAGCTGGTTGTACAGAAGACTGGTAGATTGACATCTGTACAACCAGTCTGCCTATACATGAAAAGAAATTCAGCCGGTCCTGCTGAACCAGCCAAATTTCTATGCATGTGTGGCTGGCATAAGACAGGAGGTGTGTTACTGGCCAATCGCCACCTAAAAATAAAAGAATGAGAGGGTGAAATAAAGAAAACAAATGCACTCAGTACATCCGATGATCAGTACACTACAATATTTGAAATTTTAGGTTTTGTTTGCTTAGTTACGCTTTATAAAAGGATAAAATCACATATGTCAAACAGTTAAAGCTCAATCATTGCAAATTCATTTTCAAAAGTAAGCCTGAACATTTCTAGTAATTTAAGACTGAGTATTCGAATTCTTGCATACAACCAATTATGACTGATGATCATTAACAACCCATTTAGTTTAAAATAGGAATGAAAGGTAAAATATTGGTGTATACCAGGGGTGTCCAACCCGTGGGTTGCATGCGGCCCCAGAGAGTTTGGCGTGCATGGCCGACGCAGACAAAACCTGTCTGTAGAGATGCCGTGCAAAAACAGCAGCCTACATTGTTAAGCCAGGGAAATGCATGGCTGGAGGGATGCCGGGGCTGCTATGTTTGAAATAGCATTGGCAGCAGGGAATGCAGAGGCACCAGGTAAGTAAATGCTGCATGGCTGGATCTAAGGGGGTGCTGGGTTGGGCTGAGCCCCCCAGATTTCAATTAAGCCCCCTGCCCACAACCCCCCCCTCTTCCCCACACAGCACATACATAGGCTACATTCACACCGGGCTGGTGCAAATTGTAATGGTAGTTCCTCCTGCGACTCTCAGCAAGTAGGTGCGGCTACCTGCCCCGTTCACTATAATGACAGTTCGCCAGCAGCCACACCTATTTGTGGCTGTCTACATAGCCAGCGATCACTGCTGGATGCACTTTGTCTCCAAACTGGCTGTTTAGAGAGCCACGAATAGATGTGGCTGCCGGGGAACTCTCATAATGAATGGACCTGGTGGCCACACCTACCCACTGAGAGCTGCAGGAGGAACTGCTCATCAGCTGTCCTTATTGATAGTGTATTTTATATGTGGCCCACGACAATTTCTTTTCTTTTTATGTGGCCTAGGAAGGTTAGATAACCCTGGTGTATACATATAAAAAAGGGAAAAAAAGGTATTTATAATGATTTTCTTATAAGTGATCACATACTTTGTCCTCAGCTGCATAGAGAGATGAGGGTGGAGAAACAGCAGTACACTGGTCTTCCCAGTGAATGGCTGTGGGGGAGTGGCTCTCAGGTCAAGGATCATTGGAGGAGAGCAGGCTGAGTTCCCAGCACAGCTAGAGAACTGACCAACCTGTGCTTTCATGCTTAGAGTGAGTAGTTTTCAACGGGAAAGCAGAGGAACTGGCAGGAACAACAGGGATTTCACACAAAGGAAGCAATACAAAGAGAACAGGATACTTTTTCATACAAGTACATGGTATAGCAGGCACATATCAGGAATATGAAATGTTGGGTTTACATATTCTTTAAGCTAGTATCACAGTATGGGATACAATATGTACATCAAAAGAATCTCAATGCTCATTACGTCCTATGTAAGAATCTGTCTGAAGCCTCTGATAATACCCATAGCGATGAGGGTCATTGTACACTATATGGCCAAAAGTATGTGAACACTCTGCCAAATTATTGAGTTCAGATGTTTCCAGTGCAGGGTACTGTTGGTGATACCGCTTACGAAGATATTTTAAACAATGGTGCTCTTCCAGCCATGTGGTAACAGTTTGGTGGAGGCCCTTTGCTATTCCGGCATGATTGCACCCCTGTGTACAAAGCCAGCTCTGTAAAGACATAGCGTGATACGTTTGGTGGGGAGGAACTCAAGTGTCCTACACAATGCCCTGACCTCAATCCTACTCAACACTCGCCTTGACTACTGCAACTCCCTCCTCACCGGCCTACCCCAGTGCAGGCTCTCCCCACTTCAGACCATCCTCAACTCAGCGGCTAGACTCATCCACCTCACCACCCGCTCCACCTCTGCCACCCCCCTCTGCCTCTCCCTCCACTGGCTCCCTATCGCCCAACGCATCAAATTCAAACTACTCACTCTGACCTACAAAGCCATTCACAACACTGCCCCTAACTACCTCACCGACCTGATTCCCAAGTACCACCCTACCCGTACCCTTCGCTCTTCACAGGACCTCCTTCTATCTTGCTCCCTGGTCTCCTCCTCACACGCATGTCTGCAAGACTTCTCCAGGTCCTCCCCCATCCTCTGGAACTCACTACCCCAATCCATCAGACTGTCACCTTCCCTCCTCACCTTCAGGCGCTCCCTGAAAACCCACCTCTTCAGGGAAGCCTACCCCACCCTCACCTAACTGCTGCTCTCCGTCATTCCTCCTACCACTCCATCCCCCACAGCCACTTCCTCCTGTACCACTACCCCCTCCCTCCTAGATTGTAAGCTCGAAAGAGTAGGGCCCTATAACCCCTCGTGTGCTGTTTGTAGTTGCTGTAATGTTTCATGTATTGTCCCCCCCCTCTATTGTACAGCGCTGAGCAAACCCTTTGGCGCTATATAAACTCAATGTAATGTAATAATAACACTTTTGATATGAATTGTAATGCCAATTGTGAGCCAGGTTTTCTCATCCAACATCAGTAACTGATCTCACAAATGGCTGAATAGACACCAATTTTAACAGATAGATGCTGAAATCTCATGTACAGCCTTCCTAGAAGAGTGGAGGCTGTTATAGTCACAAAGAGGAGGCCCAATCCATATTAAGGCCCATGGTTTTGGAATGGAATGGCCCACAAGCTCATATACATGATGATCAAGTGTGATTGTCCATATTCTGGCCAAAATCATCTGGATTGGGAGACCATTATGTCATGTCATTAGAAACCTCCATAGCTTGTGATCTTTTTGGTCGGTGTATTTATTGCGTTTTCTACAGTGGACAATACTGAACATTGGTGTCAGTCGGAATTATCTTTTTTGGCTTATGCACTAGATGTAATTAGATTTTTGTGATGTTTCAAGAAAATACTTTGAGTGTGTTATCCTGTTAATTGCACTGCCTGCAATCTCATTCCCTTAGCTCCAGATGAGCTCCCTCTGTTTATTTTCTTTTTAATTCTGTGAAACCCTCAGATAATGCGGACACTTTCTAGCTGGTTATAGAGAGTGTTTCAGTGCTGACATATTAAGTTCAATTCACAGAGCAGCACAACATATTTTATATGCATTTCTTATTTTGTCTCATGATAGTTTTCTCTACAAGCAAATGTTCAATTCACAAAAATGAATATCAATTTGAACGGAGTTGTCCATCAAAATGAAAGGAATATTTAATTATATTAAAACTATTTAAAGCCAAACTTCAGCTTTGGTAATTCTGTTTTCACAGCACACTGTGAGCTTCTCACAGTGTAAATTAAAAGCGGCAGCCTTTTTTTTTTCCTTGGCCTGTCCCTTTCATTCATTGGATTTTAGTTATTTTATGCATGGAAGCTCAATGTCACATGTGCACATTACTTAGTGTGGTCTGCATGTTTTATACAGCTTGCCTAAGAATGTCCACTTCTCAAGACTGACATCCAACCATGCAAAAAATAATTTAGCGAGTTTTAAAAAAAAAAGAACATAAGCCCCTAGGCATGCAGACTGCTTCTGCAAACATTTGTGAAAGAATGGGTCGCTCTCAGGAGCTCAGTAAATTCAAGCGTGGTCCCGTGATAGGTTGCCACCTGTGCAATAAGTCCATCCGTGAAATTTCCTTACTACTAAATATTCCACGGTCAACTGTTAGTGGTATAACAAAGTGGAAGCAACTGGGAACAACAGCAACTCAGCCACGAAGTGGTAGGCCACGTAAAATGAGATAGCAGGGTCAGCGCATGCTGAAAAGCACAGTGCGCAGAAGTCGCCAATTGTTTGCAGAGTCAATAGCTAAATACCTCCAAACATCATGTGGCTTTCAGATTAGCACAAAAACAGTGCGTAGAGGGCTTCATGGAATGGGTTTCCATGGCTGAGCAGCTGCATCCAAGCCTTCCATCACCAAGTGCAATGCAAAGCATCCGATACAGTGATGTAAAGCATGCTGCCACTGGACTCTAGAGCAGTAGAGACGTGTTCTTTGGTGTGTGACGAATCACGCTTCCGTGTCTGGTAATCCAGTGGACATGTCTGGGTTTGGCAGTTGCCAGAACAGTACTTGCCTGACTGCATTGTGCTAAGTGTAAAGTTTGGTGGAGGGGGGATTATGGTGTGGGGTTGTTTTCCAGGGGTTGGGCTTGGCCCCTTAGTTCCAGTGACGGGAACTCTTAAGACGTCAGCATACCAAGACATTTTGGACAATTTCTGCTCCCAACTTTGTGGGAACAGTTTTGGGGATGGCCCCTTCCTGTTCCAACATGACTGCGCACCACTGCACAAAGCAAGGTCCATAAAGACATGGATGAGTGAGTTTGGGGTGGAGGAACTTGACTGGCCCGCACACAGTGCTAACCTCATAGAACACCGTTGGGATGAATTAGAGCAGAGACTTCAAGCCAGGCCTTCTCGTCCGACATCAGTGCCTGACCTCACAAATGCGCTTCTGGAAGAATGGTCACACATTCCCATAGATACTCCTAAACCTTGTGGACGGCCTTCCCAGAAGAGTTGAAGCTGTTGTAGCTGCAAAGGGTGGGCCAACTCAATATTGAACCCTTTGGACTAAGACTGGGATGCCATTAAAGTTCATGTGCCTGTAAAGGCAGGCGTCCCAATACTTTGGCAATATAGTGTAACTGCAAGGGGAAGGGAAATCCCCACTTTGTTATCACTGAAACAGGTGTCCCCACTGGAAGATCTCCCTCCTGTTTTGTTGCAGAAACAATTGTAAAATTTTGCATTTCCCACCACTAAAGTGGTCACTAGAACAAATAGAGATGATGATTTTTGCCATCAACCTGACAGTTGTTCCAATCTTTCCACCAAAATGACATTAAGAAGTAAATCTCAACTTGAGAAAGATCGCTTGCTCAGCCCTTCAGTTCCCTATAGGCTGTTGACGCTATCTATCACATATGGAAGAACCAATAGCAGTGTTGGGTTGCAAAGGGTATGGACCAGCCCTCAACTTCTCCTCAAAAGTCACAATTCGTACATTAGATGATGAAAGGTTTGTGCAGCCACCTTGTTATAGCCATTGGTATTATAAAGTGTAAGATGACCCTATGTTGAAAGACTTCTGATGAGCAAAATGCAATCCCAAACATTGAGGTGATTAATCTGTACTGTTCTATTTTCAGGGTTATCTTGAAGAATTGGTCCGCCTTCGGGAAGTTCAACTATCTGACTCAGTATCTCAAAACAAGTTATTATTACAGAGGATTAAGGACCTTGAAGTGAACCACAAGCTGGAGAAAGAACAGCTAGAATACATAATTGTAGAACTCCAGGACCAGCTGTGAGTATGAGAAAAAAAAAAAGTGTTCTTTAATTCTTAGTAACCGTACACGGGGCCAACCTGTCTATGATAATGCAGCACCTTAGCAGTGGTTGACATCATTGAGGTTCTAGGTCAGTTTAAAGGGTCAGAAAGCCAGAAATTATATTATGGATGTAGGTGAATCTCAGTTGGGTAAGTTAGATCTTGGCTTTTTATACGTCTTGGATTGTCCAGCAACAAGATCTCTTAGCCATAATCCCAGACTTTCTATGTATTTATTTGGAAGATAGAGTCAGTGATACTTGCCTGGCGTAGTAGTGGCGTAGTGGATGTGTGCAGTGTGACAATGAGACATGCAATGTCCAAACATACAAACCTGCATGCCTTTTATTACTAATCGAATATTCAAAAGGCGGTAGTTTTGCACAGCACTTTACAAAAAGCAGCACACGTGGGACAACGAGACTGTTACAATACAGTGCAAAAATACAATTGCCATGAAGTCTATAAAATGTGTTGATGGTTAGGGCTCGCGTCGATGGCATCAATTTGACATTAGTTTCAGACCTTTCTTAGATCATTCAGAATTCATTGACAGGTGCATTTAATTATCAGGCAAAACCCACCTAACTGAAGAAAAGTTGTTGATTGAACACAATGCAATTCAAAAAAGACCCAGTCTCCACTAGTGGCTTTATCCCTACACATTCTAATAAGTTTAGTTTAGCTTAAAGTATATGTGAACCCTTTTCTTATAAAACAACCCATTCAGTGTGAAATAGAAATGAAAGGCAAAACATTGTGTATAGACAGAAAAAATATATATAAATACCTTTTTTTTTTTTTTTTTTGTAAGTGATCACATAATCTCTTATCTCAGCTGCATAAGGGGCTTGGATTGCTAGGGTAGAAGAAACAGCAGTACACTGATCTTCCTCTTCCCAATGAATGGCTGTGGGGGGGGGTGTCAGCAGAAGTCTGATCATTGGAGGACAGGAAGGCTGTGGACCCAGCACAGTCAGAAAACTGACCACACTTAGATGGATGTGTTCTCATACCTAACGTGGTCAGTTTGAAATAGAGCAGGCGGACTGGCAGGATCACCAGGTATTTCACACAAAAGAAGCGATAGAAAGAGAATGGGATATTTATTAACACAAGTACATGGCACAACACACAGATAGCAGGAATATAAAATGTTGGAGTAACATATTCTTTAAGCCTATCTAAACACAAAAACATAACTGTAATATAATGCAGCATATCCTTAAATGTGGTGGCTGCATTCACATTTGTACCTGTGCCTTGGTTCATGCTGCCATTGCATCTATGGAGATGTTCATCTCCATTACATGGTAGATTGATGGGCGTAGTCGTACACAATACAGATACAGTTCTTTGAGCTCTTTAGCTCAATCTGTTGTTTCCCTTTTATTCATTATGTGCTACTTCTGAGCATATGTGCATGGGGTTTTGTTACTAGTTGGGGCTATTGCTTGTTGGCTTTTGAGAGACTGTTTAAAGGCTTGGAGGTAATGGGAATGTCTTCTTTTATGAGGGAAGGCATTTCACAGCAGGAGAGCAGTGTGGGAAAAGTCTTGGATTTGTGTGTGAATGGAGGGTTATCAGAATAAAGAGAAGGAGCTTTTTAAAGGACTGGTGATACCTTAGGGCAGTGGTCTCCAAACTGTAGCCCATGGGCCTGACATGGGCCTTTGCTTGCCCTTTGCACTTAGGCACTCTTGCCCCCACTGATATGAGGCACTATTCCTTCCACTGACACCAACAATGGGGCACTATTCCTCCCACTCATATAAACAATGGGGTACTATTTCTCCCATTAATCTAAACGATGGGTTACTATTCCTCCTATTGACACCAACAATTGTGCACTATTCCTCCCACTGACACCAACAGTGGTGCATTATTCCTTCCACATATACCAATGATGGGGCACTGTTCCTCCTCCTACTATCCCACCGGTGCCATGTCAATATTTCTACTGTCATTGACCACCAAGCCAGAGATATTGGTTACTCCCACTGATGCTGGGGCATTTTCTACTTCCACTGGCCACAGCCTGGCCCCCTACCAGTTGTATGAGGGACAGTAAACTGGCCCTTTGTATAGAAAGCTTGCAGACTCCTGCCTTAGGGGGTAGTATGTAGAAATAAGAGGTAGTGTAGCTGGTCATACATGAATCCCCGTTATGCTAAACAGTGTTGACAGATGAATCTTCCACCACTGGCTATTGTATTCTGTCAGCTGGCACCCTTGAATACCAGATTGGCTGTAGCAACTGTTTGACCCTCCTTTTTTCTGCCCAGCTGCTTCGATTTCTCAGTTGAAATTTGGCAAGCTGGGTGGTGTCGGCATGGCCACCTACCGCTCGGAATTTGGTCAGTTATCAAGAATTTTACAAAATGTAAGCTTATATAATAAAAATGTAAGCTTAAAGTACTGCATTTTTATAACTTTGCAAGTTAAGGCTGCAGTTTGCGGCATAGATTTTTTTTTTTTTTGGTTTTGTTTTGTTCTTACAGGTTGCAATGAAGCATGACATAGAAACAGTAATAATTTCATACATGGGTAAAGCATTCTGTTTCAAACATCCAACTTCACTGGTCAGTTATTACAATGCTGTTAAAGTCACGAAATACAGTGAGTATAGAAAAGAATCGCCCCCCCTTCAAAATAATCACGTTGTTGCTTTGCAGCCTGAAATGAAGACAAACACAGTTTTTTTTGTTTTATCCAGCTGTATTTACTCAGTGCAACTTGTAACATCCAAGTGAAAGTTAAAACACCAACATGTCAGAAGAAAAAATGTTGAAAAATTCTAAAAAAAAATATCACTCAGTTGGAAAAAGGATTACCGCCTTGTGTCAGTATTTTAATGAACCACCTTTTACAGCCTTTAGTCTGTTGGGATATGTCTTTACTAACTTTGCACATCTACTGTAGATTTTGCAATATTTGCCCGCTCTTTGAAGATTTGAGTGTGGCCATTTGTGGACTGCAGTCTTCAAGTCAGTCCACAGATTTTCAATGGGGTTTAAGTCTGGGCTCTGACTAGGCCATGGAAGGACATTCACCTTTTGTTCCTTCAACCACTGTATGATCATTTTTGCTGTGTGCTTTGGGTCATTGTCATGTTGGAAGGTGATCCTTCTTCCCATTACCAACTTTCTGGCAGAGGGCAGCAGGATTTTCTCAAGAATCTGATGGTATTTTGCCCCATCAACTACACGTGACAATAGCGCAAAAGCAGCACAGGCACCTTTTTGATACATTGAATTGCACTACAGCAAATGGCAGTAAGTTCTTATGTGTTGCAGTGCAATTTAGCAAACCTTAGTTGGTGCATTTGCAACTAAGAATGAATGGCACCACACCACACTTGCCAGAACTTAGCACATATTCATTCACTACAGCAACACGTGATATTGCACATGATCCTGCATCATAGAAGTGTGAACAGGGCCTAAAACAAAACATTTTTAAAAATTGTCTGTGCATGTAGTTTGGTCATTTATAAACATCCGAATCCACATACTGCCTAAGGCTAGGTTCACACCTACTGTGTGCAGGTTGCGCTTGAGACATTTTTGAATTGCGTTTTGCATGGGGGTTTTTTCGTTTTCTTTATTTTTCTTGTTGCTAGGCAGAATTAAAACGCAATACATGCTTTTCTGCAGCATTTCCATTGAAGTCTATAGAACCAAAAACGCAACTTTTTGCGTTCAAAAAAGTCCCTGACCCATTCCAAAAAAACGCATAGGTGTGAACATGTCCCATAGGAAATCATGTTAAATGGACTGTAAAACGCTGGAGAATACGCTTACTTGTGAACTTAGGGTAAGGCTAGGTCCACACCTGTGCGGCCATGTGGGCCACAGTTTCCATAGGCACGAGAGCTCATTCATTTGAATGGGCTGTCGTGCCCCGAGACATCCAGAATATAAGTCCCTGCACTATTTTTGAAATCACAGCCCGCATGGGAACCGAGGTTCCCAGTACAGTTGCGATTTCCAGTGCAGGCAGTGTGCTATCAGGATTAATGGTACCCCGCCCGCAGGTCCCGCATTTCTCTGTGGGTGGTTGCGGCTGCTGGTATTTGTGCGGATCCCACAGCTGTACCACCCGCACAGATGTGAACCTAGCTTAAAGGGACTTTTAATGACAATTGTCAAGTACAACAAGATGCAAACCACAGTATCAATAAATCAATATTAGCTGAATAATAAGCTGCTTTATATCCTATATTTTAGTCTAGAAATTGCTTCTTTTAAAATATGTAATATTGCACAAAGACTATTATCAAAATTAAAATAAAATTGCTCCTTCATGACAAAAACATTATAGTCTTTTTTTTTTTTTTTTTTTTTTTTTTTTTTTTTTTAACCCGGCTGATCCGTAAACAGTAGCTTCCAGGCCTAAATAATCTTTTTTGGAGTTCATCCCTTCCCTAAGTAAAAGGAAAATTTGTAATCCTATACAAAGTAAGATAAGGCAGATAGTATACATTTCAGTTGTATAAGAGAGTATTTCTAGATATTCTTTGGATGCATTTATCAATGCTCATTCATGGGTTTGTGTACATGTAGAGGAATCCCGAGCATTTATTATATATACAGCCATTCTTTGAAGATGTACATAGGTTTTTATCAGCCATCGGACAGGAGATTTACATAGACTGAACCATTGAGGTTTCCTAGATCTGTCAGAGGACAGCAGATGAAGTATATTTGCAAACTTGCTTGATTTGTCAGGATATACTGTATGTCAGGCATTTTACCATTTTCAGACTTCTAGAGGTTACTTGTTGCAATGCATTAACAAAGATATAGTTGTTTTTCGTTAAGACGGTAAATGAGAGTTGATCACAGATCCTAATGTAAAAATCGAGACTCTTAAGCGTGCTTTCACATTGATCCCTTTTTCTTCTGCTTTTGCATTAAAAGAAGTGGAAGAAAAATGTGTGACCGTGTAATCCTATGGAACTCTTCACACTGATC